TATTTTGGTAGCTAACCAATTTAAGAATTAGACATTACTTAACATATCCAGACCATAATCAACTCTCGATGTCATCGCTAGCCTGCGATGTTTACTGGGTTGGAATCCGATCTGCGATGTTTACTGGATTGGAATCCGATCTGATGGATAATCAAGGCTATGTTTTTTATCGTACCGACTTCAGTAATGATGATCTATTTTTTAACTATTACAGTGAGAACTGCCAGCTCTTTATCTAATCTCCCATAATGCTCATTGATGATTAAATCAAAAAAATGGATAATCAAGACTGTTTTTCATCGTACCGACTTTAGTAATGATGATCTAGTTTTTAACTATACTATTATAGTGAGAACTGCCAGCTCTTTATCTAATCTTACATAATGTATCTTTAAGTCTGTAGATGTCCACAATATAGCATGTTTTAACTTCACTCAAAGACTAGATAGAGTTTTCAAACATTGTATTTGGAGGTATATTAGATTCATTCAATCTATTGATGACCATAATATAGAACGTTTTAACTCCATCCACTCAAAGACTAGAGTTTTCAAACATTGTATTTGAGAAATGAAATGAAATGGGGTTTAACGTCCTACTGTTCTGCTCCGACTGGGCTAATTAAGACGGGCATACGACATACAGTGTGCTATGAGGGACATTGTGCTCGGGCAGCGGTACCATGGCCTACCCTTATATCGAATTCCAACTGCCAATGGAACTTTTACGTGTACGCCAATGTATACACAGGACCTCGGGTTTTCGTCCCATCCGAACGACTAGACAGCTGTCCTTGTCAGGCCCTCCGTCCTGCATCATTGACAAGGGGGGAAAACACGCCGGAACATCTGGATAAGCTTTCTCGGCCAATGCAGGGATCGAACACCCGACCTCCAGGCTAGCGAACCAGCGTCTTACCCATTTAACCACCGTGATCCCCTCGAAGACTGGGACGTGGTCTGTATGTATAAAGTAATAACAATAGTGTTACTGTACTTGTACCTGCTGTGGCTTCTTTAATGTTGAAAATTCTATAAATGGTAGTAAACAGTGAATATTCTATTAAACTCGGATAAATTGATTAATATTGTTCTTTTTGTCTCGCTATATTTTATCATTGTTTGATAAAGACGTCGCTCCCTAATAAGCAGTAATTGTATTCCATGGAATTGTGCCCTGTATATATGTATCTGGCTTGTTTCAAAATTGATTTACAATTGTCTTTTAGTGTGCACGTCCCCGGCTGAATGCGAGCGAGATTTCTCCGTTAACGCGATTAAACGCACTGGTCGTCTTGGGGTGGACGGAGAGTACATCTCTCGATTTCGTCGAAATTCTTCAGCAGCGATGTCATAGGAACTAGGGATAGTTGGACGTGTTACAGGTGCACTTAACGGCATAGATTTATTTTCTTTCTCCGGAACAGATCTTCTCAGAGAACGGTTTAAACTGCCTTCCGAACGACTTAAATTGTCCGGCAGCGTCGACATGTTACAGTCTTCCAGTTCCTGGCGTCCGGGTCGTTGCAGCGACGGGACGTAAAGGTTGTTGGCACTAAGCGTTCTCATGTCGTCGGATATTGTTTGTTTCCGAGATGTACGCGGAGATGGACGGCCCTCGTCACATTTCTGAACAGTTATTGCGGGAAATCCGGAGGATTCCTTGTGCTTCAGACAGCCACTATGTTCCAGGGAATCGTCCAGGAATTCCTGTGGTGCGGGTGACGACATGGTGCCTCTAATACTAGTTGTCGTGTCGAATATCACACTGTGTTCAAGTCTGTTCATTTCGCCGCTTTGAGTTCTATGTCGCTCTTTCAACAAATACGACCGTTGGTATTTCTCTCCGGTTGGCTGCGACTTTGCCATTTCCGGGACATTTGTAGTCTTTGATTTAGAAGCTAGAGGTTTGTGATCGGAACTTTTTAACGGTGGCAAGTTATACACTTGCACCAGTTTTTCACTTCTGTTCATAATTCGTCGTCTGCGATTCACAACTCGTTTTTTCTGATAATCAATGCTTCTGGCACTGACACAGGCATCCTTATTGAAATGGCTCACCTGAAAATCCAAAGTTCGGTCGTAGAAGCTGCTGCCACGGAGTATAGCATCACCTGTCTTGCTGTGTAGCAAGCTCACATCTAGAAACGGCTGGTTTCGCTTGCTAGACGACGTTGTGTGGATTCCCATCGGTAAATTGCAGGTAGGCAGGTAGATCCTGATATGAATATCGATCTGTGTTCGCTGGCGGGGCGATTCGGTTCGACAAGGTATCGATTTTAATTCCGCTGTCGCAGAATCACACAATCGCTTGATCACGTTCAGGTGTCTTAATAAAACTCTGAAAGCGGAAAATGAAAATGATTTGACGTTTTACTTATCATTGTTTATGCAGGTACATGGTGGATTAATGTCGGTTAACCCTATCCGGTGATACAATGACAGAGTGTAAACAGACTGCTGATTGGTTCAGGCGAACAATACCAACCAATAAAGGACATTAACCTTGTTTTTGATACCTAATGATTGCGTTTAGTGATGTTTGTATTTGACAATGAGTGGTCGTAATACACATGACACGTGTAATATGAGCACATCGTTTAATATGAATTAAACAAACCCATGTTTTTATCGATATGTCATAATTAACAAAAGATGGCTTGCCAGGCAAGGTACCGGTTGCTAACAAGTAATTTTGATAGGGAACAGAGTTTGTCCATGAACTGGGTTGTCCACATCCAGATTCCAAACGTTTACGGGAGGTAGTACAGGATTCCATGGGCACCAATGAGGTACTCCGTGGGTTTTCAGGAATGCCCAAGAGGCGCCTTACCCCCCCCCCCCCGCCCCTACACACACACACAAATTTAATCTGGCGGATTACACCTAATTTGAACATATATTTGTATAACCTCTGTTGAATCTTTACCTTCACCAACGTCAATATGGAGAGGAATTTATATAATCTTCGGCTTGTTTTCTAATCCATTACATCAGTGTTGTAAATAATCTTTATGTACTTGATTGAAATAAAAATATTGTTTAAATCAATGTTGATTTAAAGTAGCTAAGTCTCTAACTCAATATCATCCAAAATCTTCGACATTGAAAACACGATTTATTTGTCAGTTTAAATCAACATTGATATTGTGATCTTACCGGGAAAAGATGGACTTCTGATATCCAATATTTAAGACAAAATAAACATTTTACCATTGGTACACGAATCGTGTGCCATGGTGCATTTCAGTGTCAGTTGTAACAGGGGACTCGTAGAACGAGGCTATATATATTCCGCAAGTCATGTCAAACGGTGACGTCATGTTGTTATTTCGAGACGCTAGAGATTGCCATTCGATTGAGACTTCTGGCGTATTTCGTCGAACATAACTGATTAGAAATTACAGTAAAAACAGAAACGATTGAATGCCTATCAGTTTATATACATTCACATTACATTATTATATGCGTTGCGACCCATTTGTGTCAATTTCTAGATCCAAAATATTAGCGATTTAGCTCCTTTAGATATGGAAGACTGAGGATGATATTGAGTTAAAGACTTGTCTACTTTTAATCTGGTTAAAACACAGATCCTATTTCGTTTCGTTTTTATAGTTTAAAATTTTGTTTTACTTGTCTTTACTACACTTGGATCTGGAAGAGTTGTTTTTTAACTTGTGTTCAGAATGGTGTCGGGGATAAGCCAATGAAACGGTCTGTTACGGCGAGCTTTGGGCGTGTTTTGCACGGAACTGTGGGTAATCCACTAGAAACATCAATGCTGATTGGTTAATCAAATGTCTGACGTCATAGGTCTTAAGTCGGTCTTTTGACCCCCGACGTGACCTATCGCTATAACTTGTCAGATCTTCATGTAGTGTAGGCCATCGAAAGTATAAAAAAACAAAACGAAATATATAGAGGATATTTGTCGTTTTAGAGTGAATAACATATTTTATTTCATCGAGAAGCAAGAAAACTTATATTTTCACGAATGCGTTGCATGAGTGAAAATATAAACGTTTTCTTGCTTAGAGATGAAATGAAATATGTTATTCACGACAAAACGACAAATGTTCTATTTATTTTATGATTTTACAATCATTTTAGGTAAAAACAACATGGACTACTGCTAGCTAGTGAAATAACACTTTTATTTCACTGACAAAACGCGGCATTCCACTACTGAGCATAAAATAAAGATCTGTATTTTAATATCAGATTGGTCTACTTTAAACCCCATTTCATTTTATTTTCGAAATGGCAATGCCTTTCCCAAGACAAAACATACAGAGTACATTAAGTGCAAACATTGTAATTATGTGTGATAAAAACAAAGCTTGTTTATCATGTATCTAAAATGTTATTATTGTGAATGAATAAACGGCGACATTTAAGATAATTTCTTTGTTTCCATGATAAATTGTTTTCTTTGCCCCTGAGAGATAACAGACGTATTATATTAATATCCATATATCGCCTTTCAATATGCAGACATGTTTTGGCTAAATTAGCCCAGGGACTTGGTATAATTGGATAGGGTAATTATTTTATGGGATTAAGCGGTTATTACTAGATAAACTATAGCGTAGGGCGACCGAAACGATACATGGAAGAAAATATCCGATGGAGTAATTACCAAGAGTCTGCCATGCAAATATCTTTTTTTTAAAACATGCTGAATATTTATTGCGTGTTCCATTTAATCATAAAGTTCGCTTAAATTCTTTAAAAAGGAAGATATTCTCAGAAGCCGATATAGCTTGGTGTGTGTTTTTTTTTAAAGTCAGGATATGAGTTGATTAACTTAACTAAAGATGGTGGACAGGAAAGACGCAGAGTTAATATTTGATATACATGTGAATATACCAAACATGGTGAGAAGTGGTATTGGATGTTTTTGAAAGAACAAACTTGCCTCATCGTGTATACAGGCACTTGTCAGCTATTTGCAGCGACGTTCCGGACTGGGAACACAGACGTGTAGATGTGTTTAAAATAACAAATTTTCCACACGTCGTGTACAACAATCGTCACGACTTTTTAACTATTTGAGGCGACACTCTGGATCAGTCACGTGACGAAAGGAACCTACAAAAAACGGGCGCCTGCAGATCCACTGGCTTGTCTGCGATATCACCTCGGTGGAAGCGGACGTAAAATACAACTAACACACACACACAGATCCACTGTTGATTTTTAGGACGGTTACTTTTATTTTAAAGTGTTGTGCAAACTACCAGGTTTATTAAATAACACGAACAATTTTAAACGACCATCTTGCGGTAATGTCATTAAACACACTCAACTTTGTGACATATTTAGGCTAACACGTTCCAGAAACATGGTATATGGATGCGCTCAGAAAAGTAGTCCTGCATTTTAGGAGTGTGTTTGACAGCATCTTCGCATTATCACAAAGATTATTGATATAAATCGATTCTCTATGGCATTGTGAAAACAGAAAGCACGTAAGTAGAATTTTCAATTCATCGAAATCTTGCATAATTTATAATGGCGTGAGCGAGAATGTTAAATAATTTGCCGGTAGATAATCGTCCATTTCTTTATCTATTTAACACACGCAAAGTTTGGAGAGTTCTGTACAGTGTCCTAAAATAAAATGGCGTGAATGGGGATTTAACGGTTTGTTTTTCTCCACCAAACGGGCTAATAAAGAAGGACATTATATGCACACTCGGCAAATCTCGACAGATTCCGGTACCCTACATCTAATCTCGGCTGTATGACAGTAAGTGATATGTGCCTACGCCCATACATTTGTGATGCGGCTACCGGTTTACTTTAAACAGGAAAACGTGTCGCTTTTACAAAAAAATCCCAAATTGCGTCTTTTGTAGAGTGTATATACCTAAATGAGCAGAGATATTGTCTCAAGGCTGCTGGTTTGATCAAATTCCCTGGTAATTCCCCAAACCCAATGCCAAACGTGACGTTTGTTGATATAATACACTCTCCACAGAAATCTCCATGTGGGCAGCCATTTTTCATTCGGAACCTTTAAAATAGTTCAAATATTGCGGAAATGGTCACACAGCCGAGATAAGATGCGTAGAATCTGTCGAGGTTTGCCGAATGATTATATGCAGTGTGCTATGAGTGAATATTGCTACTGCCTACGTTTATTTCTATTTCCAAAATACTAAACTTCCGCTGTCTGTCTACAGTTAGCTCCGCTTGAGAACAGACACTAAACCAGTTGACCGACATTTTATGTCCAAAATCGTAGGGGTCTTTAGCAGTGGGAGGAAACCGGAGGACCTGGAGAAAACCCACGAGGCTGGACAGGCGACCCTACTCCTTGTCGCGTACAACTGGGGATTCGAAACCACGCCTGTTGACTCAATAACAGGCCTTATGATACAGCACGCACGTGCTAACCATTCAGCCACCAACCCCCGTATATGACACCAATGCCCAGAACGTTGATTTACACATGTCAATTGAAGTGGACCATGTTGCATTCTATAATTTAAATGAAATTAGGAATTTTTGATTATTTTTCTATTCTGGAGACATTTTACTTTAGGGTTCCACAGTATTCGAGCGGTAAGAGCAAAGCGGGTTCGAATCCTGACGGGTTGCCTCGGCGTTTGAATAGGACGAAAAAACAAGGTTCCTCATGTACACACTTGACTGCACGTAAAGGAACCATGTTCGTGCAAAATACTCCCATGTTAGTCTCCTATTCTAACATTTTGCGTGGGTTGTTGGTCTCTCTCTCTCTCTCTCTCTATCTCTCTCTCTCTATCTCTCTCTCTCTCTCTCTCTCTCTTAAACTTTTAGTCTAGCAATCTTAGAAAAAAAAGCACCTGTCACGGAGATTGTCAGACACAAATTCATGCTTTATGGTACGAAAACCCGAGGTTCATCCGTGTACACATTAGCGTGCACGTTAAAGAACCCTTGTCATTTGGCATTCGACGACGAGTATAGGTGGAAACCAATACCAACTTGATGAAGAAAACTGGGACATTAAACCCTATTTCATTTTAGTTCAAATATATTTCTGCCTTGTCAGTGGTGCAGGAAGGAGGGTGTGTACATAAAAGATACCTTGGCAGATGGAATTCGATAAAATAGTAGGCCGTAGTGCCGCTGTCCGGGCAAAATTCCCCTCATTGCACACTGTATGGCGTATGCCCGTCTCAGTGATGCAGGACGGAGGGGCTGACAAGGAAAGCTGTCTAGTCGTTCGGATGAGACGAAAAACCGAGGTCCCGTGTACACATTGGCGTGCACGTAAAAGATCCCTTGACAGTTGGAATTCGATATAAGAGTAGGCCGTAGTGCCGCTGTCCGGGCAAAATTTCCCTCATAGCACACTTTTTGGCGTATGCCCGTCATTTCATTTCCATTAGCCCAGTCGGAGCAGAACAGTAGGACGTTAAACCCCATTTCATTTATTTTAAATAAAACCTCTGTGTTTACTATTACTATTATAACAGTAATTTGAGAATAATCCCTGCATTGATTAAATAAATAAAATATGACGATATTAACGTTCAATAAACTTTATTATTAATCTGTAAAGATGTATTTTAATCTTTAAACAATGTCGGTATGTTATTTGTTTTTATCGATTATCTATATTATATTTTGTTAGATCGATGCCATTTTTACACCAACAATTTAAAGATACAATGTGACGTCATCCTTTGATGTTGCCGTACCATTATTTCAGATAATGGTACGGGCAATGTGCCAAGCGTACATTATTTGTACTAGTTACAATATTGGACGCACGTGGCGTATTTCATTGAGATGCACGTGCTGGATAGTGTCTGTATTTTAAGTTACATCCCACTTCTACTCGTTGCCACTGGTAACCTTTGATAAAACTGTCCTGTTTAATCGCAATACATGCTTAAAAGTATCCGTGTATCAGTAATGTACAGAAAGAGTACTGTTCATTTCTGATACACGGATACTTTTAAACCGTTTTAAATACCTATCAAGCAAAAAGTAGCGGACGTTTAGTCCGATCCAGATCGCAAATGAAAACGATGGCCTTAACCAATGTACATGAAACAACTAGTCAAAATCATAGTAACAAAACAAAATGGGGGGAACTACATGGCAGTTCAAAAACATATACAATGAAATTAAATTAACAAAATCAATTATTATACATATCAATTGGCATCTATTTCATAATTTGGTTTGATTTATATTAATATGCAAAATATATATATTAGAATATTGAATAATTATTTTAATTAATTGTGATGATAGAAGGCGCAGTTCTCTTGCTGGACACTTCACAGGCATTGATAATAAGCAGGATGAAAAAAAACGCCTAGTAAGCAGGATGAAAAAAACCGCCACGAAAGTCATAAACTTTATTACAAATAAATTTCAACGGAAGAACCATCCGCCGATGCATACTTTCACAAGGAATGACCTACGTTTCGCATTTCCTTTACACTACATTTAATAATATCACAGTCCTCTACGCCATAGATAAGATGTTTTGACGATGTGGTCTAAACAAACACGTGATTGTTTTACGCTCAGAGTATCATAGCAAGACGCACGTGTAAATACTACTCAGGTCGTCTCTCCACTGCGAAATCATTCTACCATGAAATGTAACGTGAGGCTCAGAAAGGGATAAATAATGAAAGAGCAGAAAGTATTTGTCACTTTTCGGTTGAAACGACTCGATAATAAATACTATTTTTCACATGTTGGTTCACAATACTCGATAGAAATGTGATGTAAGTAACTTATTAGCACCTTTCCTCGGTGTATCTGTGAATATCAGGACAGTTTTGGTCGGGGGCCGCCTCGGCTCCGCCTCGACTGGGCCCCTCGACCAAAACTGTCCTGATATTCACCGATACACCGAGGAAAGGGTGCTAATAACTACTACTTGTTTAATGGTCTCGTGCAAGACATTGCGTAATACTGTATGTAGATATAGCACTCGTACAGTATCAATATATTACTTAATGTATACAGGTCACAATTCTATGGAATACAATTACTGCTTTTTACTGAGCTTGTAATAACCATCATAATATGCAAAAATGACAACTAATAATTCCCAACTATTTTTTGCTTTTCAGGCATTTCTGCTTTTCAGGCCTGCGGTTATTGTAATTTAATGCACTCAATATTTCTAACCCTGCTTTTCTACATCACCATAACATCCAGTGAAGTACCACTCAATATTTTAAATTGTCAACCTTCAGGGGACTATTGATCATTGTGCAGTCATTGTTCTAAGGGTTTTTCGTATATCAGTGTAATCACTCGCATCAACATCCACATATCAATTATTTTGGTTATAACACAAATCAAATCTCATCTTCGTGGGATGTTGTCATTATCAAAACCTCATCAAATCGTTGTAAATACTCCACAACAATCTATTCTTTTACCATTTGTATTTATTTCAGTGAAAGGGGTCGTTGATAACATTTCATCAATTTTTATTTTCTTGCAACGTTTGTATTATTAAAACCCACTAATCACTGTGTATACTCCACAACAACTTATCCATTAATCAATTAGTCAATTTTTTAGGTTAATTGGTATTATTACTTATTAGCGTACAATTAAATCAGATTACCATTAGGTACACGTAATTAAGTTACATCCCTGGTTTGTCATCATTAACTTAGCATTGTGGTGTACATGTATATATTGTCCTGTCATATTTTCATTTTTTATGAGTGGGATAGTGGAGTAAGGGGAGGTCACGATAAGACGGGCCTGGCACCTAAACACAAACCCCTCAAAGATGACATCTACCAAACTAGCAGGATAGTGGAGTAAGGGGGAGTTACGATCAGACGAACTCGGCACCTAAACACTATTCTGCAAATAAAAACTAACACCAAGCCCAAAGAGTGGGATCGTGGAGTAAGGGGAGGCCACGACAAGACGGGCCTGGCACCTAAACACTAACCCCAAACGATGACATCTACCAATCCAGAAGCAGACGAAATCATCCATCAAACGATATGTTTTATATTAAATAAAGGGAAGAACTTCCCACTAAACCAAATCCATGGCCTAATGCCAAATGGAAAGATTGCAAAATCATATTCTAAAAACAGGAATCAGCTAAATTCGGCTCTCCTATGTCTTGTCTGCGATATCACTTATGTGGAAGCAGACGTTAAACACCAAGAACTACTACTACTTCATTTTTTATCATAGCTTGATAATGACTAGAGAAGCCTAGTCGAAACGTCGCTCAGTAAAAAGCAGTAATTGTATTCCATAGAATTGTGACCTGTATACTCTAGTTCAATTACTAAATGCCATTGAAACAGATTACTTAATGTCTCGCACTCGACCATTAAACTACACACAATGGAAGATTTAGAGAAAGGGTTGACACTTCTCACTATAATAGTTAAATAATAGATAATGTAACAGGAATATTCTGAAATTTTCAGTCACATTACTTCAGTCTAAGCCGAGAAATATTCATTTT